TTTTAGTATTTTGGTGATATACCCAAATTGCCCATCGGGATCTGTTTAAATAACATAACACCACATCGAACCCCTTCCCCAAAGTCGATGGTTGCAGGAATCAAATATATGTCTCTGCTTGGACAGATTTGATTTGAATTGTCGAAAGGAATTATAACATGGCCTAATAAGATAGGCTAAACCCCTTGTGATATGGCTTAACGAAAGGGCTGGGAAGGGGAAGCTAGAGATCCTTTCCTTAAAATACATGGCAATCTATTTTTACAAGAAACCGTATCTAAGAAGTGGGTACCTTTCACTATGGAAGCTTATTCCTCAACCCACTCTCAAAAAGAAAAATTAAGAGTAGTTTAACTCCATTTTCACAAAAAGTACTAAATTTAGACACAGGTATCATAAAAAAGAGTTTCCACTCCAAAGTGTGTAGGGCTCATATAAATCTTTAATTTCCTAGTTCAAATAAAAGTCTTTATGAAGGCTTTTTAATTATCCCATAAATAGTCAATCACAAATAAAATAATATTATTAAAAAAACAATAAAATTAAAAACCAAAATGATACATAGGTGAAACTGCCCATTGTGTTAATACGAGTCATTCATTAGTAATTCTATAGTAGTCGATGTTTAAGTTTATTACGTAATATCATAATGGTTGCTACTTAATATTTTTGGTGTGCATACAAACATACACCATATCTAGGCATCTTTCATATGTTATAAAAGGTTATTTTGAACAATAAAATTGATCGAATTGAAATCAGAGTCGAATCGGATAATCAAATATCTGAATTTTCATAATTGAATCCATTAAAAGACTAAGGTTGTGTTTGATACCACTGCCACTTCTAATGTTTTAGGTTGGTTAATACAAATTCTTAAGAAATTGTCTTCTCGCATCACACCAGATAGCCACTTCAACTAAAGAAAATATAGTCATGGGATTGAACGTTGAGACATTTATAGTAGAAACACGAAATTCGATATTTTCCTTAAGAAACAATAATGGTATCAAATGTTGTATTGATAATTCAAAGCATTTCTCATAGAAAAAACATCTTATAAAATTTGTATTGACCAACATAAAATGTTACAAGTAGACGTGACAATGATACCAAATACAACTGAAAATATCCATCAAATTTGTATATGCCCTTACCCAAGAATGAAGCTCAAATAAAACTAATTTCACTAACACAAAAAACCATAATTTGTTCAACTCAAAATAAATTAATCCAAAAAACATGACATGGATACAATAACTTCAAAACACAAATGGAAAAGGAACAAAAACAAATTACATAACCAAACAATAATACAAACTAGATACGACTAGGAGTGCAACTTGCGCAGCCCAACCTGAGCCCGAACCAACCCAGCCCAAAATTTTACATAGGTTGGGCTTGAATTTCCAGTCCTTGGGCTGGCTCGATTCCAAGAATTTGGATTTTTCTATTTTCTAGGTTGGTCTCGGGCCTATCCCTTAGGTAGCCAAAAACCGGCTAAAGCCCAACCCAACTATACAATTTATACATATAGATCTATTTATGTAAATTTTTGCATACATATTTACCTATATGTATTGATATCCGTATACGTATTTACATATATATACACACGTATACGTATTAAAGGCATTGCTACCACGTATACGTATTAAAGGCATTGTATTAAAGGCATCAGGATGATTGACATCAGCCCCAATAAACATGACATGACCATCACCCTCAAGGCGAAGAAGCTTTTCAAAGAGTTCAACATTGCTACCACCAAGCTTGGCATTTATCTTGAGGGCAAGATTTGCAAGGTACTGGTCTAATCCTTTATGCTTATTAGCATTTTTGGAGAGACAGCATTGAGTCATTATTCCAATCTCAGTCTCACATATCCGCTTCAGGTTATTATACCCTGCATCCTTCTCGGACATTGCACATATGAGAATCTGCAATTGACCACCAGAAATCTCTATAGCACGGGAGCAAATTGAACTTGGGTGTTTACTGAACTGCTTGCTGTTGCGAAGTTCACACATCTCAGATGGCTCATAGAAGAGAGGCTCCTTCATTTCAATGTGGAGTTTTCTGCATCGAATGACCAGTTTTCTTGCAAACTGAATGTAATTTAATTTCACATTCCTATCAGTGAAATCAATGATTGCCCATCGTTCAACTCGCTTCCCTTCCAAAACACAATTGCCAATAAGGTTCCATTGGCAGTCATCGCTAACTGTGACTCTGCTAGCCTCACCATTCACATTGCCAAGTTTCAAACTGGGTGGCTGGATAACATGTCCAGTGACTTCAGTCATGTGCTAACTAACAGCAATCTCGAAATTTTGTGCAATTCCTCCCCTGATAAGAATGGTTAGGAAGTAAATGAGATACAAACAAAAAATTTCACTATTTTGACAAGTTTTCTTGCATTCATTTTTTAGAAAAGAAATATTGCATGGCACTCTGCCTACAGCTTTCTAATTTCCAGTTGTACTGTAACTGTTAATAATTTCCTTGTATACTTGATCAAAATAGAAATATGAATAGAGGTTACACTACACAAGCACTTATAGTAAGCATACTGTGAACAAAATAGGAAGGGAAGAAATGTTTTGGGCTGTATTGTAATTTTCATTTCTGTTATTATCGGGAGAGTTGAGCCTCTTTACCTATTCCTGGAAATGTTGTAACTAACTTTTCTTTTAATAAATTGATTTATGTTATTGATAAAAAAATCATTTTATGGATCATAAAAAATAAACAAACCACTACTTTATCATAACTCACATCCATTAAAACGGTGTAGGGCTCCTAAGGACATGGTAGCTACAGGGAAATCAAAAGGTTTTCAGTAGTTGAAATTGCTAATATATCATCATCATAATAATTAATAAGAAACATCTAAATAGTAGCTTTCCATACCCGCATGGTTCATCATCTGCTTTAACCATCGTGCATATGCAATCCTTTCTTACCGATGGTTCCGCCAAAGCAAACTTATTGAAATTGGACCGTACATCCCTAACCAACATATCCAATCTGTCTTTAGGGTACCTTTGTCCCTCCACCAAAACACAAAACTCCATAGGTACATAGTTCATCTTCCCATCCTTGCTCAAATCTAAGCAAGGAAGATACCTGTGCTCAATCACTTTATTATATTTGTCCTTGAAATATTCCACAAGTCCAACCTCTCTTCGTGGATCCTCAATTGGGAAACTCAGATTGTTTGTAACAGAGCTCGTAAGCCCCCGAATTATGTACTTTTGCTTCGTTGTCCTGTGAATCACTGTCACTTTCAACCCTTTCAAGGCCTTTTCAATATTTTTCGTCACCCAATGAGGAACAGGACCATAATTAAGCTTAAA